TTGGGCATAAGAAAAAAATCTTAAAATTACGCCGTTTGTTGTATTGACCAAAAACGTTGAATACATTATAATAATCACGATAAAGTTGCACATCTTCGCGAAATATGAGAAGAATAATAAAAATATAGCAGATTACATCAATATTTTCATTATATTAATGACATACACACATCTACAAATCAATTTAAAAATATCAACATTATCTAAACACCATGATGAATCAAATGATATCAAAATCACACAAGTCCGTGTAGCGGTTTCTAAATCACAGCGGCAACAAAACAAGATATTGAGGAAAAATATTTGTTTTTGGTTCGAAAAAATAATGTCATCATATTTATTTTTTTAATTGTATACATGAAATTTCAGAAAAAAATGTTGGGGTTATTCTGCTATTTTACCCGAATTTCGCCGAAAAATTTACACATATATTATAATAATAACTTTTTGTGTATAAGTATACGCCTTGCGGATTATATCAAGACCCTTCCGATAAATCTTAGTATTCTATAAATAGGAATAAATCTTAAAATAAAATAATATTATGAAATATACATTTTAAATTGCGTGTAAATCGCGTAATTCTCAAAATCATTTGATGCGCATGCGGTTTCCAGGAAGTACTGAAGTTTATCTTCCAATCCATATATATTTTGCGAAATTTCATTTGACGGCTAAGATGTGCCGCACGTTACATTGAAGTACCCAAATAATCGTAAAACGCGAATAATTTCCGAAAACTCCATATGCCATTAACGCGCATCCGATTTCGGTGTGCACCCTAAAAAAATACATCGATCTATACCATTTCAATGTGGTCCATTAAGAACCATGGATGTGCCAGCAAAATCTATTTTTGAGATAAATTGCGTACATCTCTCTTTCGGCTGAAGTTTTTAAAGTTATCTTTTCGAAAAAGATCAAAATCCGTATGAGGTCATTTATTGAAGCGGAAATGATACACAGAAAACGCAAATAAATCCGCCGTATTTTCAAAAAAATTTTTTGCCAAATTTCGTGTTTTTGGAAGGCCAGTTCCCGCCGTTCTAGTAGATGGATTTTCACGAAGAAGATTTTATATCATCCGAAACGTAAAAAACCTTATTGATCGCGGGTACCCATGTCATTCAGTTGACAGATCTAAAAATTTGGCCCGAAAAATAGGTTTTTTAGAAATTTGATCGCACAAAATTCGCACCTTCGGATGAGTATTACTCTGAAGCTGTGCATACTACATACACAAAATACATATCAAATTACGCAGATTCGCGACTACAATAATCTTATAATCGATTTTTATAAATTCCTGTTTGCGTATTAAAGCTAGAAGTAAAATTAAAAAAACACTCAAAATCGAGCTTCAAAATGTCAGCATCATTTAAAGGTAGATGCAGTGAAAATTTTGAAAAATGATATATAAGGGGCGTAGTCTCCATTTTGTTGGCTTTTAGTTTTATTTTGACACGAAGTCCGTGCAATGAGTGGCTTAGTCACAAATCGATAGAGAACATAAAAAAACTGGTTCGCCTCAACGTGTTTTTACACATTTTTTTACATTAAAGTAGACACAGCTTCCACCAAAATAAAGTTTGGAGGTCAATATCATGAACAGTTTGCAACGACAGTTCAATTTACCCAAAACTATTCACTTTTTTTCATATACTTAAGTGATTCCCGAGTTATAAAGGGGTGAACCTCCGCTTCAGCTATGTTAAAAAATTGGCAATATTGCCCATATATTGTTTTTGTTTCTCAACTAATAAATTCACAAGTATACTTATCATACCTACACTCTCGCAAACATCGTTCATTTATACGACTACTCTAAAATATATAGGTGTTGTACAGTTTAGTGAACTGTACGTCATTTTGAAGTCAGATAGTCAAATGGAAATTGTTGCTTTCTAAGATTTTTATTTGTAAAGTGGATCATAAAATGTGTTATATAATACCCTCACGTAGTGTGAGTGCATGCCTGCATCGTCATAGAATTTTACGCTGTTCAAGAATATATATACTTTATAGGGTCGGAAATGATTATTTCGATGAGTTACAAACGGAAAAACAAAATTAATATACCCTCCATACTATGGTGGAGGGTATAACATATACATACATATGACTACAAAATACCAAATTGCAGCAAATTCGATTGAAAAACCAAATTCGAAAGTACCAAATTTCAGCGAATTCGGTTGAAAAACGCGCCCAAGAACCCTAAAATACCGAAAATTAAGGGGTAACCTTATGTGGGGTAGAAAGAAAATGATATCGCTGCACACAATGCGTTTAAACATAATTATCTTTAGAATGCATTCAGAATATTTCTTGTCTGTGAGTATTTTTGAGTGATCGTAAATAAAGACCATACATGTGTCCAAAACCAAATCTATTTACACATTCAATGTATGTATTTGAAATGCATTGTACTTCTATGTATTAAAATGTAGGTTTAGAATTAAGAAAATATTATAAATAAAATGAGTTCACCTCGAACCACGGAACCATCAACACCGTGCGTTTCTTTTTTCTCTAGTTTCTCCCGTCGCACATTTGTGATGAGATCAGGAGTCATCTCATCAGGTGTTTTGGCAATAACCCCAATTTCCCATTAATCCAATTTGACATTTGTTTAGTCTATAAACTAAGCCATTCATTTCATTTTGTTTGCAGCAGTAACAGCCCTACCGTTCAATACATTTCCCCAAAAAAAAAAACAAACTTTTACAACTGACGTCGTATAGATCACACCAACACCACTGCTGTATGGTACATAAAGGTGTTTGGGTTAATACTGTAAAACGATGAAACATTTTTATGAAGTTACATTGTCGTTTTACAGCGATTTAAGAGTTTTATAAGTACGACGAAATGTTGAGACATGACAAGCGAAATGCCCAGCGAAAGAAGAAAAAACAAAACATCAAAGGACACCAACAATGAAAACAATAACAACATCTTCTATAGAATGTCGACAGCTATTTCAGCCAAAAGGTGAGTGCAGAAAAAAAACAATAACACTGACGAAAAGGTACAAAATCTACAACAATAAATACAAGCGGGACCGACAACTAACTGTAAGGAGGAAACGAGGCAAAATTCATTGATAGTCCCCTTAAGTGTGCTATAAGATTGTAACACCAAGCTAAATTCTAAGTGTATGTGTGTGTGAATATTCCACAGTGTGCGTTGATAAAATAAAATGATTGCTGCAGTACCATTTAATAAGAGAAACTTGATGTCGCTTAAAAGAATGTTTATGGAAATTTTTCACTTAAACTTGAGCAAAGTAATAAATGTTTCAACAACGGCAGCAACACCCGCATCAAAATCACCAGCAATAGCAACAATTTACTAAAGAGTAGATGCAATATACACCAAATCCTCTCAGTGGAATAAAATGTACAACAATAACAAAAAAACAGCTACACAACTGTAACGAAGTGTGGGATAGAGCTGAGGTGACGCAAGACGTTCGGTAAAGCAACAATTTTTTCCACTGCCCTTGCACAGTTGACGGCATGCAGGATGAGTAGAGGAGAAGATACTGAAAACAAATAACAAATTAGAAAACTTTCAAATAAAAAAAAAAATCAAACAAAACTTTATGTACACTTTAACATTCTCGGTACATCTTCGGCATCACCTACTTGGATCTTGACACAAAAAGAGGAAAAGGGTCTTGGCCTTCGCAGGTGTTTGGGGACGGTTCGACCGGGCCAAACCCTCACTCATACACCGTTACATTCGCACGTTCATTCATTTATTTATTCATTCACCATGTCCCCCTCTCTCTCTATCTATGTATGTGTGTGTGTCTTGCTTCACTGCCTTAAATGTTGAAGTACACGAAAAGATCAAAAAGTACCAAAGTATGGTTATAAATCACCGAACGAAGTAAAAGTATCAAAAGAATGGAAAAACAATGTGAAAATGTTTTCCACCCAATATCCATCCAGGGAAATTCTCACAGTCGTCTCGCACATATTCAAAAGTGCCAACATTATTAAACGTAATAAAATATTGTGCTAACAAAATATTTCCAATTAAAAAAGATCGAAATGCAACAGCTGGTAGGTGGAGCCATGGGGAGGACACTGAATACCGTCAATAGATTGAGTTTGAATAAATTGGAGCACAGATGGGGGGATAGATAGGTCAAATAATATAAATATTTTTCATATTAATTTTGTAATATTTAAAATGTTTCTTTTTTCTATTGCAATATCTCATTTCTTATCAGAGCAAATATGTTGAAGCGGATACGATGATAAAACAATGTCACTACTAATTAAATAATTAAAGGTCCCAGGCTTCAAAAAGACATTAAAGTTAGTAAAATTAACTTTAAAAAATGGTGAAAATGTGGCAGTCAGTGTTTGTAGAACTAAACGATCATTAAACCGTTCTGAAGCACCATGTCGGGCCGCAATACATAAACAAGTAAAAAAAAAATCATCTTTGCTGGGACGAGATAGTGATGTGAAGAATACAAACCATACATGTAGCACAAAAACAATTAAGAATAGTCCACATTTAGCCCAAAGTGTTGAAGAAACTCATAATTCCTCACCGCTCTTTGAAATTGGTCAGTCCACAGAGAAATGCATTTAATTAATTAAAAAAAAAATCGAATTATTTTTTAACAATGCTTTTACAAGTTCATTCCTCCTAGCCAAATCCCTGCCTAAATCTATGGTTAGGGAATTACACATATGGAAATATCTACTGAAAGATAGCGCATATTTGGGAATAAAAATCTAAAAAAAAACACGAATCTTCAGCGAGTGAAAAATATTGCCTGAGAGTATTCGATGTTTTGAGATTAAAATACATTTAAATTATTAAGTAATTGCCCAGTCTCAAGAGAATGAAATATTCGTTAACTTGGAAATATATTATATATCTAACTAAATCTACTTTTTTGTTTTATTGAAGATAATTGACTTGTCAATCATGGAGCCAATCATGGAGTCCGTTGAAATTGTATACAAACTTACCTCGACCGTCGCGTCGCAGGATCTTTCATAACCATAGCCTCAGAAATTGCACCAAAGCGGCTAAAATAGTCTTTTAAACTCTCTGTAATGAAAACAAAGTAAACAAATAGAAATTAAATAATTACTCAATACTAATAAATATGTTTATTTCATGTCAATAGATATGTTTAAATTATGTCGATGACATTTATTTTTAGTACAATAATCATCATTTGTCCATTTCATTCAATTTTTTTTATATATATAAACATCTGGGAATACACAAGACAATTCGCCCAATAGACAAACTCATACATCTGCTGACAATGGCTTTTTAAATGCTGGCAATCTCAGCGAACTAATACCAATCTGACACTATAGATGCATTCATTCTCCACACGCAACAATTATAGGAGACTCGTTTGCCCCATCGCACACATTGCCACTTGGCAAAATATCCATCACTTATACCCCCAATCAGTAACCAACCACCATGGGGAGAAAAAAACTCACAAAACTTCAAATGAGCCCCAATCATCATATTGCAATGGTCGGACTTGGGGTCGTATATAACTAAAATAATACATCATAAATCTTAACGAGTGCACAATAAAAATTCAATAAAAACAAACGCAACGCGTGGCATTATTGTGCGCCGAGTTGTTATTTTTTGTTGCCGCTTCTCGCCAATTCAAATTGTACAGCAATTGCATAGGGATGTAGACAGACCCTCTTCTGCGCGCCGTCTGGCATTGAAACAGCATAACGACACTTTGCAAGTTTAGCCATCAACGCAAGTGACTGGGAAAAAAAACTCGTCCATTAAAAACCACTGGTTGCATAGCCAAGGGGGACTTCAATGGGAGTCAGTAGTGCTGTGTTATTGTCCGGGTTATTTCTTTTTTTTCGTTGAAGTTGCAAAGGAGCGGACATTTATTTAAAATAAGATTTACAGAGAGGGCTCGCTTAAATGGTTCACTTAAAGAATTAGCTTACTGAATTGCAGATTTTAATATTAATCGTGGTGGCATGGAAGCTGAAATGCGGTGCATAATATCATAGTGCGTTGTATAACAAAAAAAGTTTATTTTAAATCCAACATCTTTCATTATGGGACATAAAGAGTAATTTGTTGCTAATTTTTACTTGCAGGGTATCGAAGAAATCGGAATCTATTAGCTGAAAGACAATAATTGAACATAAAAATGCATTGTTGTTAAATGGTGGTCCTACATAATTGCCATAGAACATGACCGATCCTATCATTGGAAGTTATTTTGATTGATGGTCCATAAGCCTTAGTTCCGCAAACAATAAGTTACAGAAGATCATTAAACTGGGCAAATATTTTCTGGGAAAAATGAGGGCGTGGCCACTTTTTTCATGATCGAAATTTGTCCTGGTCTATCGACAAGCTTCAGAGGATTTGGAATCGGAAACTGGAGTAGAATTTTAGTAATAGTGAGATTTTTTGGGCCTTTCCAAAAGATTAATTACATTCTACCAGAATTGGTAGAACACCTCAAGACTGTACAGAAATCCTTTATGTCGTTATGCCTATTCTTCTCCCCAGTTCGGTCATATGTAATAAGCTGCAGTATTAATCCGATATCGCTGTGTATAAGTCCTTGTCTTCATTGTAGTATGCAAAGATTTAAAGAACTATTAGGCTATCCACCATAGAAACATTCGCCTATCCAACCTATTTTGAATGCAGTTAGTAAGTTTCTCTGGTCTTAAAGAAAATCGAAAACAATGTCTCGATCAGTTGCTCACGAACCCCCCTCCATAAACACACCACGCTCCGTCTCTGATTATGTTTGTATTATTTATATTATTATAAAAATTCCTACATTTATCGCCATATGTTTCAGTTGGTATTAGTGGCGTTTCTTTTGTTGCATTTGTTGTTGGCATTGTATTATGTATGGAGTCGCGTGATTTAACTTTTAAAATGATAATTATGTGCAATAATAAAAACGATTTATATGCTTATGACAGTTTAAGCATAATAAATTAAAACATGACCGAACAAGCAAGCGAACGAACGACTGCCATAGCACGCGACTAAAAGTCAAGCAACTGCCAACTGACACAAAAATCGCCAGTGTCACTATTTATGGTAACACCACCATGTTCACATGACGCTGGGCCAGGACGAACAAATTGCACAGTTAGTGCTATGAATTTTTGGTAGAGAGGCGATATGAACTAGGGCCTTAAAAGTAGTAGGGAAATTCTTGGGAAGATCTAGAAAAGGACATTAAATAAAAAATGTCCTCTTCTAGATGGAATACCATTGTTTTGCATTGCAAATATTCAAAATCATATTTCGTTGTATATTGTGAATGTATTTATTTGTGGAAACTGTTACTTTACTTAAAATGTGTAATGAAATTATACCCAACATGTAAAACAAAAAGGGTCACATACACTATACATATTGTCGTACAGCATTTATCCAAATATGCGTTTTTTATTGTAATAAGGAATGTTTGCTTTGATTATACACGAAAGGGTTCATCGGCATGATGAGCATGATCTATAGTGTGTGGGGCCCTTAAAGGTCCCTTACAAATAAACTATTCGATTCTACTCCGAACATAGACACACAGATAGATATTCGCATGTGAGTAGCTATGTTTGATTTCATTGTTAGCGGTTAGCGTAATAAAAACATGTCATTACAAATTGACATTATAAAAATTAAAACAACACCAAAACAGCAGCAACAACAACAACAACTATGCATAACAGAATGTCATTGCCATTTAGGCACAAATGAATGAGGCTGAACAAGGAAGGGCAGTGGTGTTTTTCGCTTACAACTTGCAATTCGCTCGCTCTACTTGTTCTGCAAGTAATTGATTGTTTTGTTGATTTGCCATTTAAAAGCGTCACATACATGCACAACACAGCCAAATGGTCATGCACGCATACAAAGCAGCTAAAAGGATTAATAACGGCAAGGGTTGTGGAAAATACGACTGGCTAGAGGGAGAGAGAGTGTGGAAGTAAAGTGAAAACAGGTTTTGGTGTCTTGTATTAAAGTGGGTGGATTAACGGTGGTTGACATGTGTTAGGATTTATTTACAACACGTGCGGTTGACGACTTCTCCATTCTGCAACCCTTCTAGCCATCCCCACCTACACCAATCAGGTTATGTACTGTTCTTCCTCTTAGCATATTATATCACGAATATTGGGGTACTGTGTGTGTCGTGACTTACGGAAGCGTAACACAAAACAAATAGAATAATTTGAGGTTAATTTTATAACCAGAATTTGTGTTGCATTTTTAAACAAATGTTACAAATTTGTTCAAATTTTTAATTGAAGTCTGGTTTGTTTTCATTAATATTTAAAGAGAGAAAGTTGAGCTCACATTTTTTGCTTGATCCACAAGGGAAATACATGCATGTTGTTTCATTTTTTTAACCCTTGCAGTAGATTCAAAATTTTGGCAAAGAGCTTCCGGTTTTAAGAAATGTTATGTTCATATATTGTTTTCCAAAGAAATTTAATTGTGTACAATCTTCCTAAAAAGTTGTCCCCGAAATTTAGTTCATAATTTTGCAGATAAAAAACTTTGGAAGAATAAAATTTGTTGAGAGCTCGAAAGAAAATAAATAAAATCATGATTTCTAGGCTAATTAGAGCATGGGTATAAAACGATCAGCAATCACTAACATCTCACACTAGCAGAAGTATAGCAAGGAATGGCGGAGGTATTACATTTAATGGTTAAATTCAGAAGTATTGTGTTTTTTCTTGTTTTGAGCATAAATCACATGATCGGATTGATTTTTATATTCACATAAAAATAAATTTTGTTCTCTTCTTCAAATAAATTGACGCATCAAAAATCATTTATACTTGAAATCGAGAAACTAATTCCGCTCTTTGGGAGTAACTCAACCGCTGTACTGGTGTCCATGGACAAAACAAACCTAAAATCTTCCCCTCAAGAAATGCTGCAAGTTATAAAATTTATTTCTAAAATCACAATCTCTGTGTAACATATCGCATTGACAAATATTCAATATTTGTGCTGTAATATGTTCGACATCTTGGACACATTTTCTTCTTTCGATGTTTGTTTTATTCTGCAAATTATTTGCCAGTCAGGACAAGCAACACAAATGTCAATCATGAATTGATCTGCTGTTGGTGTAAATGCGTCAATATTAAAATTTATGTTTAAACCCTCCACCCCCATCATTTTGTTGATGCCAGACTTGTGTGTGAGTGTGTGTTTTTGTAACACCTGATTTCGTTGGATTTGATGGGTGAATGTCATACAGAGTGGCATTACAAATAAATTCTCAAATTTCTTAATCTTTTTCTTCTTTTTTTCCATTTGTGATTTGTAATAGTCGGATGTTAATCTTTTGCATACTAAAACAGATGTTATTGGCACCTTCGTTTTCATTTTGTTACAGCAAATATTCAGTATGTGGGGAAGAAATACGGTTGTTGCAAACCTTTGTAACACCCCTAAAATTGTGACCTTTTTTTAAAAATATTGGGAAATTAGTTGTTAGAATTTGGTTGGACACTGAGGTATGGAAAGTCATATTTACAATATTATACTAAATGGTGTAGTAGTAAAAGTTTAAAGATATTTGGCGTTTCCCTGAATTTATTTAACCAATGCTAAGAGATAGTAAAGGTAATACATAGTAGGTAACTACATAGTCGCCGCAAACACCAAAACCCTTTTCTTACTTGTTTTCAATTTACATTACATTCCAGGAATATTGAATATCATTCAACGTTCCCGGCGACCCCTACAACAGATTGAAAAGTAGTTTCATCATTACTTACAAATGTCAGTGTTTGATTTAATACTTATTTTGGAAACACCAAAGAGAAAAGGCAAAAGAACACACCAACTAAAGAGGAACAAATTTCAATATTTGTTTATTACTTTTATTCGCTTCATTTCGAAGGATATTTTATTTCACATTCGAGTATTTTTTGCAATTTGTTTGGTTTTATTATTCCATCCGCTAAATCATCCGCCCATTCTTTACACTCACCCAATAAATCCCTTTGAATGTTGGGTCATCTTCTGCTTCTTTTTCTGGGCAGAGTATTTAT